CCACACACACTGACTAAGTACTGAACTTCAACAGTAACCATCCTAACACACACAAATGAAGCTGCGCGTGAACATTATTTAAATGGGCAACAACACATTGCAGCAGCACAGAACCACGCTGAGAAGAAGGAGTACCTCTTCCAGGTTTTCAAGGACAATGGATATCCAAAAAACTGGTTCAGAAGATGCCTATTACACGAACAATGCCAGGAAGATATTACACGCCCCGACACACTCACCACGCTACCTTACATCAGAAACACGTCGGAACTAACCACAAGACTCCTACGACCACTGGGCAGCAGAGTAGCACACAAACCCACATCAATCCTACAACAACTGCTCACCCGAACCAAAGACGCACTATCCACTATGGAAAGGACCAATGTCATATACAAGATTCTCTGCAGAGACTGTGACAAACACTACATTGGACAAACAAGAAGGAAATTAACAACAAGAGTACATGAACACCAAATGGCTACAAAAAGTCACAACCAATACTCACTCATCTCTATCCACATGGACAAGGAAACCACCAATTCGATTGGGACAACACCAAGAACCTGGGACAAGAGACAGGCGCGGGAGTTCCTAGAAGCCTGGTACTCCACGAAGAAAGCTATCAACAAACACATAGAACTCGACCCCATATACACTCCATTGGGAAGGAAAACCAGAAGTGAGGTAATCCAGCTTAACGGACTCCAAAGTTTAAAAACCAGGCGGGAAAACACAACGGCGCTTCATCGGAGGCTGCACAGATGAGGTTACCCAGCAGGGTAATGAAACGTCTGCGGAACAACAACGAACCAGCTCGGCGAGCCAACCAACCATAAGGATATCCCATTGAACGGGGGGAGGACCATCAACTACTGCTAAAACACTCAAACAAGTATTGCCAGTACAAAATTACAGACTGCAATATTACAGCCCAAGGAATAAGGTAATCCTGCAAGTTGATGCATCTCAGAGAGGGCCAGGACTATGCATCATACAAGATGGTAAAGCAATTGCACTGGGTTAAAAGATCTATCGTAACTATAATCCTATTATTCCACTCAAATCCTGTGTGGACCAGCTGGCAGGAGTATTTGCTAACATCTTTAACCTCTCCTTGCTACAATCTGAAGTCCCCATCTACTTCAAGAAGACCACCATCATCCCGATACCAAAGAAAACACGTGCAACATGCTTTAGCCACTATCACCCAGTGGCTCTGACCTTCATAATTATGAAATGCTTCGCGAGGTTAGTCATTCTAGCCTCCCAGTCTGCCTTGATCTCTTGCAATTTGCCTACTGGCACAACAGGTCCACAGCCATCTCTCTAGCCCTACACTCATCGCTGGAACATCTGATACCTACGTCAGGCTTCTACTTACTGACCACAGTTTCGCTTTCAACACTATAATCCCAACCAATTTCCAAACTCCGAGATCTAGGTCTCTGGTCCTCTATCTGCAACTGGACCTTGACTCCCAGATCGACAGACCGTAATCAATGAGGATAAGCAACAGCACCTCCTCCGTGACAATCCTCAACACTGGCGCCCCGCAAGGCTGCGTACACAGCCCCTTACTGTATACCCTATATGCTCCTGACTATGTAGCCAAATTTCATCCCAACTTCAACAAGTTCATTGACAACACCACCATTGTAGGTCGGATATTGAACAACGATGAGCCAGAATACAGCAAAGAGATAGAGCATTTGGTGGCATGGTGTAAAGTTAACACTCTTTCCGTCAATGTCAGCAAAACTAAACAGCTGGTCATTGACTTCAGGAAGCAAGGAGGAGGGCACGCCCCTATCTACATCAATGGAGCTGAGGTGGAGATGGTCAAGAATGTAAAGTTCCTAGGAGTGACAATCACCAACAATCTGTCTTGGAGCACTCACATTGAAACAATGGTCAAGAAGACACAACAACACCTCTTCTTCCTCAAGAGGCCAAGGAAAATCCTTCAGTTCAAATGCACCTACTTCAGGAACACAAAGTAAATGATCCATGAATGAAGCAACTATGAAAGTTATCATGGAAGATGGCCTGATACATATGCCAGACATTGTCAGATTCTTCGGACCATGTGGAGATGAATTGAGTATCTCAGAGGTGTAATGTTTAAGGGGAAGCAAGTGCTTGAACCCAAAGCTCTTTACTAGGACTCTATTGTCACAGCTACATCTGGGCACAGAGTGAACAAGACACCTACCATAGGATATGTCCGTGCTGCAACAAAGGTTACAGTTACACTGTGGTGGGCAAAGGAAGCTGTATTGTGTGGTTGTTGCAATAGCTCATTATATACCAGGGTAGGTTTGAAATATTACCTTGACTGGTAGGCAGGTACTGTGACAGCCAAGTACTTATAATGCTTCTTTCTGGATAATTATATTACCTGTAACTAACCTAATCACAGACTTTAGTTTGAGTCAAGCTACGTAATAGTATAGGAATTTATTGACTTTAGTGGGACTGTCTTGATTACGGAACATTAACATAGACTGGATGGGCCATATGGCTGTCTTTTCTGCAGTTCTGACTATAACATGACTTTAAAAGCATTAACATTACTTTGCACTATTGCAACTAACTCTTATCATTTGAAGTACATTGAAAAAGGATTTAGTTATAGTACATCATGTCATTTGTCCCAGGACTTATGTGCAATAGTTTAATTCAACTGCTATCAAGCTCTTTGAAATGGAGGACAGTAAGTCACTGTTAAATGTGGATGGAAATTTCCTCCATGCAGTGTATATATAGCAAGATTTTTGATGCAAGTTTCCTTCACAACAGCAACTGAACTGGATAAGTGCCCATTTACAGCTGTTAAAAGTTGTGGTCACAAACAGCCTGGCTAAACAGAGCACAGTGACTTAGCAACACAATAATATGTTGCGATAGAATTTTCTTACTTTCAAACAATGCACTTTACAAGCAACCATAACGTCATGGAGGATTAGCTAGAGTATGTCTGTGAGTCTGTGGATGAGTGTGTGTGAAAGTGCAGATGTTTGTGAGTGAGTGAGAGGTTCTGTGGTGTGTATAAGAGAGAGTGTAGGTATGTGTGAGTGAGTGTTGGTGGTTGTATGTGAATGTGAGTGTGAGAATGTGTGTGTGTGAATGTGAGTGTGAGTGGGTATGTGTGTGTACGTGAATGTGGGTGTGTGAGTGTGCAGGTGTTTGTGAGTGATTGTGGGTTGAGTGATTTTGGGTATGTGAATGCGGGGGTGAGTGAATGTGGGGGTGTGAGAGTACAAGTGTTTGTGAGTGAGAGTGTGTGTGTGTGTGTGTGTAGTTGGGTGGGTGTGAATGTGGGTATATGAGTACATGGGTGTTTGCAAGTAACTGTGGATGTGTTTGTGTGAGCACAGGTATGTGACAGTGCTGGTGTGTGTTAGTAAGTGGGTGGGTGTGTGTGTAGGGAAAGAATGAGTGAATTTGAGTAAGTTGGGAGCTCTTTCAAAGAACTGGCAATTTTTGTACCTAACTGTTCTGTATGGAACCAGATCAATATACAGTAAAAGTATTAAGGTTATAAGCAGACTATATACTGTACTGATCAAATACAGAATATTAAACATTATGGTAGGGTTGTGAAGGAAGAAGAGTGCAATCCTGTACCTATGAGAAAAGGATTGAAAACCACAACCTCTACAGAAAATTGATTTTTGATGAGGATTACAGTACACTAAAGAATACACAAAATAATCTACAGTACCACAATTATTAACTGTTGGGAAAAACAGTAACTTTGTTTTAAAAATATGGAAATTAAGATAGAATAAATGGTACAAAGATATTCCATTGAAATTAACTGAAATGAATAAGGGGATGCAATTCTATAGTGGCCATTGGTCACTGCTGTGGATTGCACATCCTTTGTTTCACGAATTATTCACTACCATCTGTCCAACTCGAAGCAGAGGAGATGGAAGCAGTGGGAAAACCAATGTGTGATACCTTTCCATGCCTCCATCTTGACAGCAAGTCAGCAACTGGGTGGCTGGAATGTTTGCAGGCAGGCAGGCAGGTGGGAATAGTTTAGGATTATGTTCAGTGTGGACTGGTTGGACCAAATGGTCTGTTGCTATGCTGTGTGACTTGATGGCAATACCCTTCAATCCTATGGTCTCTATCACTTAAGAAGATGAAGGTCAGTAGAAGCATTGGAACCTGCAAGGTCCCCCCCAAATCACACACCATTCTTACTTGGAACTAGATAATTGTTCCTTCACTGTCAAGGTTACAAATTTTGTAACTTTAGGTACTGTATCCCTACAGTGCATGAACTTTAGCAGTTCAAGGCCAATTAGGTTTGGGCAATAACTATTGGCCTTGACAATGAACTCGCATCCCATGAATGAATTGAACAAAAGCCTGGGACAAATATCAGAGAAACAAAAAATGTTTTTCCATTTTCTTTTAGCACTTCTGTTTACTATTGAAAAATATTCAGGATTGGAAAAGGATTTTTATTGTATGGTCATTAGTTACGTTTGTATGTTTTCCAATTGGTGTAGGAAGACAGTGTTGGGCAGTCCAATGGCGGAATGTGTGGATGGGGCAGCTCAATGAATCTTCCACAAATATTCAGCCAGAGTTAGTAACTATACCTGATCTGTCTTAATTAAAAAGCAGATGTTGGAAAACGTGAAGGAGGTCCATTCACAGAGAGAACAGATCTATTGATACAAACGAGCGAAGGTTACTATCCGGGCCTAAACCTCGCTGTTGACACTAAGCACGTTTAAGGAAAATTTTGCACTTATTTCGTGCTGTTCACAACCTCAAGGCTTTCTGAAGGTGTTTATTTCTTCCAAAGGTTCTGATGAGGTTGCAGGAAATGCAGCAGCCAGATAGCAAGGAGGAGGAGACGAGTGCCCTGGGGATCCGTACAGAGCGCCCTCCCTCAGTGGGAGGCCCTGGGCGCCGCTGCAACTGGCGCATAAGCGTTGTGGCGTTTCCACCACCGCCGCGCATGTGCAGTGGGGACAGCGCACGGGTGCCATTTTGTTGGCTTTCTCACTCCCGGGTTGTGTTGTGTCTAGCCAGGCGGCTGATAGCCAGGCCCCGCTGCACCACATCATTCACAGCAGTCCGGTGGAGTTCAACGGGGGGAGCAGAGAAAGGGAAACCCCCACCCGGACAACGACAATAGCGATGTGACACGGCGACTAGAACAGGTGAAGGAGTGCAGGGAGAGGGGGACAAGCGCGAAAGGAAGAAGGGCCTGAGTTGGGGGAGGGGCAAGAATAGAGGCGGAGCCAATGTCTCGACTGGATGCGTGAGCGCGCGCGCACCCTGAGGGGGTGGGTCTGTTGGAGCGCGCGGGGCCCGATGTGTGCGCCCCCCCCCCCCCCCAGAGGCGTGGCCTGGAGCACGCGAACACCGAGAGGCGGGGCCTGGTGTGCGCGTTCACGAGGGGTGAGTTGATGTGGATATGGAAGGTGTTAATTCGGGAGAGCAGGGTTTGATGGGGGAGGGGGGAAAGAGGTTTGCGGATTCGTGGGGGTTAGGCTGGGCTATGAGCCCAGTAGATCACAGTGGCTGACTTTGCTGTTACTTTGGACTGAGAGTCTTTACAAACAGACCCGTGGTGACCCAACAGCCCTGCTCCTTTATAATTACCCTTGATGGCATCATAGATTCATAAAGAATCTCTGGTAGTCACTCCGTACACGCAACATCCTGTGTGAAAAAGTTGTCTCTTTTAAATATTTCCCCTCTCACCTTAAATCAATGCCCTCTAATTTTCTAGTCCTCAAGTAGTTTACCTCTTCCGTTGAGCTAAAAACGTGGAAAAAAAAACATGGATGTTGATTAACTGTAAAGAGTGCCTGTATGAACTATAAACAACTATAAACTTGACACACTGATTTCACAGGAAGCAATGTCAATGTTTACAATGGGACAAAGACATTGAAGGGTGTGGAAATTCAAAGCTTGTTTTGGACTCCTGCATGAAAGTCTGAAGGAAATGCAGACACAAAAGTAGGTTACCAACACCTTCCACCCCAACCTTAAGTTCACCTGGACCATTTCTAATACCTCTCTCTCCTTCCTGGACGTCTCTGTCTCCACCTCGGGCAACCACCTAGAAACCGATATCCATTTCAAGCCCACCGACTCCCACAGCTACCTAGAATACACCTCCTCCCACCCACCTTCCTGCAAAAATGCCATCCCCTATTCCCAATTCCTTCACCTCCGCCGCATCTGCTCCCAGGATGAGGCATTCCACTCCCGTACATCTCAGATGTCCTCATTGTTCAAGGACCGCAACCCCCCCCCCAGTGGTTGAGAACGCCCTGGACCGTGTCTCCCACATTTCCCGCAACTCATCCCTCACACCCCGTCCCCGCAATAACAACCAAAAAAGAATCCCCCTCGTCCTCACGTACCACCCCACCACCCTCGGATCGGACGCTTCCGCCATCTGCAATCCGATCCCACTACCAAAGACATCTTTCCTTCACCACCCTTATCTGCTTTCCGGAGGGACCACTCTCTCCGTGACTCCCTTGTCCGCTCCACACCCGGCACTTTTCCCTGCAACCACAGGAAGTGCTACACCTGCCCCCATACCTCCTCCCTCACACCCATCCCAGGCCCCAAGAAGACTTTCCACATCAAGTAGATGTTTACCTGCACATCTGCCAATGTGGTATACTGCATCCGCTGTACCCGTTGTGGCCTCCTCTACATCGGGGAAACCAAGCGGAGGCTCAGGGACCGCTTTGCAGAACACCTACGCTCGGTTCGCAATAAACAACTGCACCTCCCAGTCGCAAACCATTTCAACTCCCCCTCCCATTCCTCAGACGACATGTCCATCCTGGGCCTCCTGCAGTGCCACAACGATGCCACCCGAAGGTTGCAGGAACAGAAACTCGTATTCCGCTTGGGAACCCTGCAGCCCAATGGTATCAATGTGGATTTCACAAGCTTCAAAATCTCCCCTCCCCCCACCGCATCCCAAAACCAGCCCAGCTCGTCCCCGCCTCCCTAACCTGTTCTTCCTCCCACCTATCCCCTCCTCCCACCTCAAGCCGCACCCCCATCTCCTACCGATTAACCTCATCCCACCCCCTTGACCTGTCCCCTCCCTAACTCCCCACCTACACTCACCTTTACTGGCTCCATCCCCGCCTCTACGACCTGTCTGTTTCCTCTCCACCTATCTACTCCTCTCTCCATCTTTTATCCACCTCCCCCTCTCTCCCTATTTATTTCAGAACCCCCTTCCCCTCCCCCTTTTCTGATGAAGGCCCGAAACGTCAGCCTTTCTGCTCCTATGATGCTGCTTGGCCTGCTGTGTTCATCCAGCTCTGCACCTTGTTGTCACAAAAGTAGGTTATTCTGTTAGGTTGGATGATCCTGATTGGTCTATATTTCAACACGTTATTCAGCTCTGTTTTCCTTTGGGGTCCTCTTGCAGGCAAAAATATCTGAGACTGTGGTTAATCTGTACAGGATTTTTTTTTTGGTTAGAAACCTAGTCTACCTAAAAACAATGGAAAAAATCAATACTTTGTGTCAGTCATTAGTACAGGTGCCATGTATGTACGGTGAAAGTACACACTTTTCACTGTATTTTTACATTGAATGTACGTGACAATAAATGATTCAATTCAATTTAAATTGTTAAACTGAATAGTATTTCTCATCACAAAGGAGGAAATTGAATTAGAATTAGGTTTATTATCACATACTGAAGTACAGGAATACGTGAATACAGCGAAAAGTATTAAAAGTCGCCATTTCCAGCATTCTCTTAGGTAGAGAGATACCTAGATACAAAATCTTAAGTATAAATTAGAGAAATGAAAAAATCAAGTTAAAAGATCAGCATTACATTCTTTATAAAGCATGAATCTATGCTGGGCTTCACCTTGAGGCCGGGAGTCCGTACTGAGCTTCCTCCAGGAGAACAGGAGTGTGCGCTGGGCCTCCGCAAGGACGGGAGTCCATCCCCACTGGTCACAACAGCAGTGTTCCCTCTAAGCTGCCTTTCTGATATTCCACACCCATCAGTTGCGGCATTGACATCCTTTCCAGAAGTTGCTGCTGTTCTTGGGCATCCACAGCCAGCAAGAAAATTAGAGGAAGTGCTGCTCACTACTGCCCGGTAATAACTAAAGCATAATCTCTACTTTAGTGTTCAGTTCCCCTCCGAATAAATAACTTTCCTAATTACTTGTCATTTACAATTGATGTAAACAAAGACACAGATTCTTCTGTATCTCATAAGTCTGCAATCTCTCACCGTTCAAATAGTGTTTTTTTTAATTCTTCATGTCAAAATGAATAATTTCACATTTTCCCACATGCACTCCCCTTGCCAGATCTTTGCACATTCGCTTAACCGATCTTTATATTTTTATTGCCTCCTGAGTCCTTTTTGCGTCTGCCTTTCCTATCTATCTTTGTGTCATCAGCAAATTTAGCAACCATACTTTTGTTCCCTTCATCTAAGTCATTATATTAATTGCAAACAGTGGAAGTCCCAGCACTGATCCATGTTGCACACCGCTTGTTAGATCTTGCCAATATGAAACAGAGCCCCTGATGTTTAGTCGGGTGTGGTCAAGTTATTATTCATATATGGTTGACTCTGAACTCTTGCAGAAATAGTTTACTTAGGAAATGAAATAATTCTTCAGTCACTCTTTCAAAAGAGCCAAAAAGGTTGTTTTTAAACCAGAACTGAACGATAAGATTTTATTTTCTGAAATGAGAGAAATCAGCTGGCACCTTGTTCTTCACTGGTTTTTGTCCATTCTGATCGTTCTTAGAGACTTCCCTCTAAACCAAATAAAACCAGCATCTCTCCAAGTCAATCACTGTTCACATCAGCCCCAGCAGGACTCTGCAGCAAAGCAGACTGTAATCAATAGTTTTTTTTTCCTATTTATTTGTGGGTTGCAGACGTTGCTGGCTGGCCAGCATTTCTTGCCCATCTATAGTTGCCCTTGAGAAGGTGGTGGTGAGCTGCCTTCTTGCACTGCTGCAGTCCTCCAGCTGTAGGTTGACCAACAATGCTATTAGGGAGGGAATTCCAGGGTTTTGACCCAGCAACAGTGAAGAAACAGCGATATATTTCCAAGTCAGGATGGTGAGTGGCTGGAAGGGGAACTTGGAGGTGGTAGTGTTCCTATATGTCTGATACCTTTGTCCTTCTCGTTGGAAGGAAGTGGTCATGAATGAATCATTTTTAAAAATAATCAATTTTTTACAAGCTAACAAGTTATGGAGGAAAATGAAATGTAACAGTATAGAATCTTTAGCAGGACCCAAACTCTACAGTCTTGTGTCTTCAATATTCACTTCAAGGAAATTTCTATTGTAGATTTGAGAAAAGAATGTAGCAGTGGATATCATACACATTGGAGCCAGTCTTCTGATTAGCTTATGGGCAACGTAACTGAAAATTGCGAAATTTAGGGAGGGCTTACAGAAGCATGGTCGAGGATGTTTGAATAGCCGTGGTGGCAGGAGTTCACATTATTGCTGTTTTATTAGCTTACTAAGTCAGATAAAAGTGGAGCCATCTGACAGGATGTCCACAGAATGATTAGTACGTAGAGAGGTAGCACTGCAAATGAGATCGATAATGTTTCACAGGGGATACCAATGGCACTTGTTTTAGGGATGCGTCAGAGAGTTATGGGGAGGTGAATGACAAGTCATGTTCAAGAAACTTGAAGAGCATGAAGTTTGGAAATGGGACCAAATGTACAGAAGCAAGGCTGAGCACAGACTGTTTTTTTTCTATTCATTTGTGGGATGTGGGTGTTGCTGGCTGGCCAGCATTTCTTGCCCACCCCCGGTTGCCCTTGAGAAGGTGGTGCTGGGCTGCCTTCTTGAACTGCTGCAGTCCTCCTGCTGTGGGTTAACCCACAATGCTATTAGGGAGGGAATTCCAGGATTTTGACCCAGCGACAGTGAAGGAAAAGCATATATTTCCAAGTCAGGATGGTGAGTGACTTGGAGGGGAACCTACAGGTGGTGGTGTTTCCATATAACTGCTGCCCTTGTCCTTCTGGATGGAAGTGGTCGTGGGTTTGGAAGGTGCTGTCTGAGGATCTTTGGTGAATTTCTGCAATGCATCTTGTAGATCGTAGCAGCAGTGTGTACTGAGTGTGGTGGTGGAGGGAGTGGTTGCTTATGGATGTAGTGTCAAGCGGGCAGCTTTGTCCTGGATGGTGTCAAGCTTCTTGAGTGTTGTTGGGGCTGCAATCATCCAGGCAAGTCGGGAATATTTCATGATGTTTCTGACTTGTGCCTTGTAGATGGTGGGGAGGCTTTGAGGAGTCAGGAGGTGAGTTACTCGCTGCAGTATTCCCAGCTTCTGGCCTGCTCTTGTAGCCATTCTGTTAATGTGATGAGTCCAGTTGAGTTTCTGGTCAATCGTAACCCCCAGGATATTGATAGTGGGGGATTCAGTGATGGTAACACCATTGAATGTCAAGGGGCGGTGGTTAGATTGTCTCTTATTGGTGATGGTTAAAGCCTGGCATTTTTGTGGCACGAATGTCACTTGCCACTTGTCAGTCCAAGCCTGGATACTGTCCGGATTGTGTTGCACGTGAACATGGATTGCTTCAGTATCTGAGGAGTCACAAATGGTGCTGAATATTGTGCAATCATTGGCGAACATCCCCACTTCTGACATTATGATGGAGGGAAGGTCATTGATGAAGCAGCTGAAGATGGTTGGGCCTATGCCACTACCCTGAGGAACTCCCGCAGGGATGTCCTGGAGCTGAGATGATTGACCTTCCATGACCATCTTCCTATGTGTCAGGTATGACCCCAACCACCGGAGCGTTTGTCCCCGCTACCCATTGATTCCAGTTTTGCTAGGGCTCCCTGATGCCACACTCGGTTGAATGCAGCTTTGATATTAAGGGCTGTCACTCTCATCTCACCTCACCTCTGGAATTCAGCTCTTCTGTCCATGTTTGAACCAAGGCTGTAATGAGGTCAGGTGCTGAGTGGCCCTGGCGGAACCCAAACCCAAACCCAACATGACTATGTGGTTTCAAGGAAGCCTTGTCCAAAAAAAAACTTCAGTGTCCACTGTGATCTTTCAATGGCCTCTTTTAAAGGAACAACTCCAGATATTTCCACAGTACTTGAAATTAATCCATTTTCGACAATCCTTCAAAAGTTAAGACCTTGAATATTAAATAAATAAAAAGGATCTGTGTAAGACCAGAAACTTAACTCATACCATAGTCATATCATGTCAACAGATAGCAGAAGAGGAAAGAGCAAATCCTGATGAAATTTTAGCCACTCTAGAGATTCCTGATGATAAAACACCAGAGAGGATGGAGAAAGGTAAAGAATTTAATCACTTTCCAAAAATAATGAAATTATTTAATTTTCTGTTTTGATGCATTTTTATCAGTGTTGGTTGAGGTACGACTTTTCCATTCAGGAAGTTGTGTTGAAATTTAGCTGGAATTTGGATTTTCATTTCCAGTCGGTAGGTCAGATGCGAAACAAAACACTGACAATTTTCCTAAGTTTCAAAAGAAGTCCTCACTTTTTGATGGTCTCCTTCCTGAGATCTTAATATGACTGGCTGCTGAGAAAGTTAATGCATTGCTTTTCATCTTCCAAACTTCCCTGGATTATATTGATCCAAACCACTGATAATGCTAAATGAGATTTGCAGAGTGGTTATAACGTCTCGTGACTAACTCAAAATTATTTTGTTGGATGGTCTTCCAACCATTAGCCAAGAAAATTCTTTTTGAAGTCATGATTTAAATAAAGAGCATTGGTCTAATCCAAGGCATCATTATTTCTCAACAAACTGATGAAGGCTTTTGATGAGACTGGCTTGGGTGAAACTTAATTTCTTTTAGGATCAGTAACCAAAGAACACAGACACTGTAAGCACAGGACACTCCATCTGCAGCTAATTAAGGAAGTTAAAGATAGTGTTAAATTGAAAGTTAAAAAAATATAATTTTGTAAAGATGAATAGCAAATCAGAGGATTGAGCAGAGTATAAATAAACAGCAAAAAACAAACAAAATATTAATAAAGAGGAATAAAATCGAGTACAAGAGAAAGCTAGTGAGAAATATAAAAACAGTTTCTATAGTATTTAAATAGGAAAAGGTTAAGTAAAATGATGCAGAAAAGAGCGAAAGTCACAGGATTAATAATGGACAAATACCGTGATGGTGGGTCAGTTAGCTTCATAGAATCATAGAGATATACAGCATGGAAACAGACTCTTTTGGTCCAACTCGTCCATGCCAACCAGGTAACCTAAATAAATCTAGTCCCATTTGCCAGCATTTGGCCCATATCCCTCTAAACCTTTCCTATTCATTTACCAATCTAAATGCCTTTTAAATGTTGTAATTGTACCAGCCTCCACCATTTCCTCTGGCAGCTCATTCCATACACACCCCCCTCTGCTTGTAAAAATTGCCCCTTAGACCCCTTTTAAATCTTTTCCCTGTCACTTAAACCTATGCCCTGTAGTTTTGGACTCCCCAACCCTGGGAAAAGACCTTGTCTATTTACCCTACCCATGCCCCTCATGATTTTATAAAGGTCACCCTTCGGCTTCCGATGCTCCAGGGAAAATAGTCCCAGTCTATTAAGCCTCTTGGAGTTTTCGGTTGGTTTGCTAAGCTGACTGGTTTTCATGTAAATGTTTTATCTCCCTTTTAGGTGAAATCATCAGTGCTGTGTAGCCTCCACAGAGGGCTGTTGCTCTGTCCGACTCTGAATTTATATGGTCTGGTCTGGCATGGTGGACAATCTTGTTTCCGGTTTTGTACCGTAGTTGTAGATAGATGGGGTCTATTTCAATATGTTTGTTAATTGCATCGGTGGCTGAAAACCAGGTCTCCAGGAATTCTCGTGCTTGTCTTTGTCTTGCTTGTCCTAGTGCTGTAACTTTGTCCCAGTTACTTGATATCCTTCGATGTCGGAGTGTATTGAAACAAAGGAGAATTGGTTGTGCCATTTTGCTGCGAGTTGGTGTTCATGTATCTTGGTGGCGAGTTTCCTGCTCGTCTGTCCTATGTCGTGTTTCTCACAGCTGCTGCATGGTATTTTATATATCACATATATGCAGCAACTGTGAGAAACACGACATAGGACAGACGGGCAGGAAACTTGCCACAAGGATACATAAATACCAACTCGCAGCAAAATGGCACAACCAATTCTTCCTTGTTTCAATACACTCCAACATAGAAGGGCATCAATTTGACTGGGACAAAGTTACAGCACTAATACAAGGGAGACAAAGACAAGCACGAGAATTCCTGGAGGCTTGGTTTTCAAACACTGATGCAATTAACAAATATGTTGAAATAGACCTCATCTACATACCACTACGGTACTAAACCGGAAACAAGAGTGCCCACCATGACAGACCGGACCATATAAATTCGGGGCGGGACAGAACAACAGTACTTCAGTGGAGGCTACACAGCACTGACGATATCACCTAGAAGGGAGATGAAACGTTTACATGAAAACCAGTCAGCTTGGCGAACCAACCAACAACTCCAACCACAACTCGAGCCACAGATCATCTTTAAAACATTATTCAGCCTCTCTCTATAGCTTAAACCCTCCAACCCTGCCAACATCCTTGTAAATATTTTCTGAACCTTTTCAAGGTTCACAACATCCTTCCTATAGCAGGGAGACCAGAATTACACGCAGTATTCCAATAGTGACCTAACCAATGTCATGTGCAGCCCAACTCCTATATTCAATGCAATGACCAATATAGGCAAGCATAACAAACGCCTTCCTCACTATCCTATCTACCTGTGACTCCACTTTCAAGGAACTATGAACCTGCAGTCCAAGGTCTCTTTGTTCAGCAACACTCCCCAGGATCTTACCATTAAGTGTAGAAGTTTTGCCCTGATTTGCCTTTCCAAAACGCAGCACCTCACATTTATCTAAATTTAAACTCCATCTGCCACTCATCGGTCTATTGGCCCATCTGATCAAGATTCCATTGCACTCTGAAGGTAACCTTTGCTGTCCACTACACCTCCAATATTGGTATCATCTGCAAAGTTACTAACCATACCTCCTATGTTCACACCTAAATCATTGATATAAGTGACAAAAAGCAGTGTATCCAGCACCGATCCTTGTGGCACTCCGCTAGTCACAGACCTCCAGTCTGAAAAGCAACCCTCCACCACCACCCTCTGTCTTCTACCTTCGAGCCAGTTCTGTATCTAACTAGCTAGTTCTCCCTGTATTCCATGTGATTTAACCTTGCTAACCAGTCTACAACGAGGAATCTTGTTGAACGCCTTATTGAAGTCCATATGGACAACGTCCACTGCTCTGCCCTCATTAATCCTCTTCGTTACTTCTTCAAGCAACTCAATCAAGTTAGTGAGACACATTTTCCCATGCACAAAGCCATGTTGACTATCCCTAACCAGTCCTTGTCTTTCCAAATACATGTAAATCCTGTCCCTTAGGATTGCCTCCAACAACTTGCCCATCACCGATGTCAGGCTCACTGATCTATAGTTCTGTGGTTTTTCCTTACCACCTTTCTGAAATAGTGGCACCATGTTAGCCAAACTCCAGTCTTCCAGCACCTTCCCTGTGGCTATCAGTCATACAAGTATCTGAGCAAGGGGCCCAGCAATCACTTCCCTAGCTTCCCATAAAGTTCTAAGGTACACCTGATCAGGTCCCGGGGATTTATCCACCTTTGTGCATTTTAAGACGTTTAGCACCTCCTCCTCTGTAATATGGACATTTTTCAAGATGTTGCTATTTATTTCCCCATGTTTTCTATCTTCTATAATCTTCTCCACAGTAAACACTGATGTAAAATACTCATCTAGTATCTTCCCCCGTCTCCTGCGGTTCCACACGTAGGCAGCCTTGCTGATCTTTAAGGGGCCCTATTGTCTCCCTAGTTACCCTTTTGTCCTTAATGTATTTGTGGAATCCCTTTGGATTCCCCTTAACCCTATTTGCCAAAGCTATCTCATGTCCCCTTTTTGCCCTCCTGATTTCCCTCTTAAGTATACTCCTACAGCCTTTATATTCTTCTAGGGATTCACTCGAGTTCTGCTGTCTATACTTGACATATGTTTCCTGCTTATTCTTAACCAAAACCTCAATTTTTGTTGTCATGCAGCATTCCTGACATCTACCAGCTTTGCCCTTCATCCTAACAGGAACATACTTGTTAAAAAATATTTTGCATCTGTCTTCACTGGATACATATAAAATTCCAGAAATAATTGTGAATTGGGAGGTGAAAGCAAGTGAAGAAATTAAAACAATTGCAAAGGAACGGATACTGACAAACTTAATGGAACCAAAAACTGACAAGTCCTTGCTTCTTGATCATCTTAATATAAGTGGCTGCTCAGAAAGTTGATGCATTGATTTTCATTTTCCAATGTTCTAGAAAGGTCCCAGTAGATGGGAGAATAATTAATGTGATCCTGTATTCAAGAAAGGAGGGAGACAGAAAATAGGAAAGTGCAGGACTGTTAGCATAAAATTGTTCACTGGGAAAATGCTGTAATATATTACTAAGGAGCTCATAGTAGGAACTTAAATCTCAATGCAGTCAGGCAGAGTCAGCATTGTTTTGTGAAAGGGAAATCATGTTTAACAAAATTTATTAGTTTTTTGAGGATGTAACAAACAGAATGGGTAAAGGGGAACCTGTGAATACACAGCACTTAATTTCCAAAAGGTGTTTGACAAGGTATTGCATCAATGGTTACTATACAAAATATGATGTTGTGGTGTAGAGGGTAACATGTTAGCAAGATAGAGGATTATTTAACTGACAGGAACCAGACTGGCCATAACTGGGCCACTTTCACATTGGTGAGATGTGGCAAGCTAATGCTGCAGGGAGCAGTGTTGGAGCCTAACTGTTTACAAATTATATCAAAGATTTTGTCCCTTCATTCAAGTTAATGTTGCTAAATTCCCTGATGACAAAAGGATAGTTAGGAAAGTAAGTTGTGAAGGGGACATAAGGAGCCTGCAATAGGATATAGATAGGTTAAGTAAGTGGATAGAAAGTTGCCAAATGGATGAAAACATAGAAAATGTGATCTTGTCCACTTATTAGCAGGAGAATAAAAAATCATATTATTTAAATGGATGGAGATTGCAGAAATCTGAGGTACAACAGTCTGATTGTCTTAGGAATTTAGTACAAGAGTAGGTCATTATTCTGTCAAGCCTGCTCTGTCATTCATTTAAATCATGACTGATCATTTACCTCAGTGCCACTTTGCTACACACACTCTATTTCCTTTGTGATTAGTCTTCATAAATCATGTGATTTC